GTGCCTGAAGGTGAGGAGGGTAGGTGACAGTCTGATGGATTGGGGTAGAGAGTTCCAGAGGATGGGGGAAGTCCTGGAGAAGTCCTGCAATTGGGCGTGGGAGGAGGAGACCAGGGAGCTAGAGAGTAGCAGGTCCTGTGAGGAGCGGAGGGCACGGGCAGGGTAGTATTTGGGTATCAGGTCAGTTATGTAGTTCGGGGTGGCATTGTGAATTATTATTATTATTACATCGAGTTTATATAGCGCCAAAGGGTTTGCTCAGCACTGTACAATAGAGGGGGGGACAATACATGAAACAGTACAGCAACAACAAACAGCACACAAGGGGTTAGACGGCCCTACTCTTTCGAGCTTACAATCTAGGAGGGAGGGGGTAGTGGTACAGGAGGAAGTGGCTGTAGGGGATGGAGTGGTAGGAGGAATGAAGGAGAACGGCTGTTAGGTGAGGGTGGGGTAGGCTTCCCTGAAGAGGTGGGTTTTCAGGGAGCGCCTGAAGGTGACAGTCTGATGGATTGGGATAGTGAGTTCCAGAGGATGGGGGAGGACCTGGAAAAGTCTTGCAGTCGTGCGTGGGAGGAGGAGACCAGGGAGCAAGATAGAAGGAGGTCCTGTGAAGAGCGAAGGGTACGGGTAGGGTGGTACCTGGGAATCAGGTTGGTGAGGTAGTTGGGGGCAGTGTTGTGAATGGCTTTGTAGGTCAGAGTGAGTAGTTTGAATTTGATGCGTTGGGCAATAGGGAGCCATTGAAGGGATAGGCAGAGGGGGGTGGCAGAGGTGGAGCGGCTGGTGAGGTGGATGAGTCTGGCCGCTGAGTTCAGGATGGTCTGAAGCGGGGAGAGCTTGCACTGGGGTAGGCCGGTGAGGAGGGAGTTGCAGTAGTCGAGGCGTGAGATAATCAGGGAGTGTACGACTAGTTTGGTGGTGTCTGGGGTAAGGAAGGTGCATATCTTGGCGATGTTGTGAATGTGGAGCCTGCATGTGTTTGTAAGTGATTTGACATGAGGTTGGAAGGAAAGGTTTGAGTCCAGAATGGCGCCAAGGACTTTGGCTTGTGGGGTGGGATTGATGGTGGTGTTGTTGGTAGTGATGGATAGGATGGGGGGGGGGCGCGGGGAGGGGGGGAAAGACAAGAAGCTCGGTTTTGGAGAGGTTAAGCTTGAGAGGAAATGGAGCGACATCCAGTCAGAGATGTCGTTTAGGTGGTGAGTGATGCGGGTGCAGAATGTGGGGGTGAGGTGAGGGGTGGAGAGGTAAATTTGAGTGTCATCAGCGTAGAGGCGGTAGTTGAAGCCGTGGGAGTGTATGAGTTTGCCAAGGGAGGAGGTGTAGATGGAGAAGAGAAGGGGTCCAAGGACAGAGCCCTGGGGGACCCCAACAGAGAGGGGGAGGGAAGGGGAGGTGGCACCGTTGTAGGAAACGCTGAAGGAGCGTCCGGATAGGTAAGAGGAGAACCAGGAGAGAGCGGTGTCTCTGATGCCAAGGGAGAGTAGTTTATTAAGGAGGAGGGGGTGGTCAACTGTGTTGAAGGCCGCAGAGAGGTCCAGGAGAAGGAGGACAGAGTAGTCACCTTTGGCGGTTAGTAGGTCGTTGGTGATTTTGAGGAGGGCGGTTTTGGTGGAATGTAGGGGACGGAAGCCGGACTGTAGTGGATCAAGGAGGTTGTTGTCAGTTAGGTGGGCGCTATAAATAATAAAAAGTGTGACTTCCCCGCAAAATCACTTACACACCCCTTATCTGAGCATACAGTCCTGCAGGCTAGAAAAGGGGGGTAGACGAGCAACCATATACACACTTTTTATTTGTAATGTCAGCTCTTTTGTCTACATTATGTGAAACTTTCTAAAATGTACCAGATTGCAAAAAACACATATATAAAACATCCACTTTTATTAGTTCAGGTACTTAGATAGGGCCATCAATTTACACAGCACTTTATATACATATTATACTTTCACATCAGGCCCTGCCTTCAAGGAGCGTACAATCTAAAGTCCTTAACTCACATTCATATAATAGGGACAATTCAGACAGGAGCCAAAACAACTTTCAGCATGTCTTTGAAGCATGAGAGGAAACCCACACAGGCAGAACACGCAATCTCCTTGCCTTTAGTGCCATGGTTGGGTTTTGAACTCGCAATCCTAGTGCTGCTGGGCAAGTGCTAACCACTAAGCCACAATACTGGCTACAATGTTGACTGCAATGCAATCTAGCATATATAGTAGTATCATGATTCAAGAATGATGATATTTTCTTTTAAGTAAATGTCAGAAAATTCAAATTCTACATTAAAAATTGTCATATAAGAGATATAACTGTAATGGTTGGATACATATTTAACATTAGAAAATAGTATGCATTACTCTGTACACACGGAAGGGGTACAACCTCGAAACACGTTAGCCACCAGCTATCTAGAGGTCTACAGTCCCCCAGCATACCATCTTCAGGGGTTTTTGGACCACATTGCACCCTGTGTGACATGCTTTCCATTTGATTTTAATCTTTCTTGTGAGTATTTTACTATTTATAAATAAATCTAATTTCTTAAAGGTAATGCACTAGGCCCGTGCACCCTCTTTTTGTTTCCTATATGCATTACTCTGTAACATTAATTAAAAATGAATTTAATTGCAGAACATATTGTAAAAAAACAATACAAAGCAAGAAAGAGAATTAATAATAGAATTAGCATTAAAGGAAAGCAAACAACAAATCACATCTGCCAATTGTTTCTATAAAGAAATGGGAAAAATGGGAAATGGGATCTTGGCTCCTACACCCTCAAGGTACCAAGTTCAGAATTGCCTATTTTGTAAACAGGACTATTCCAATTTGACATTTACTAATAGAAATTTTCCTATGTGAAGACATTTTTCTGTTCACCATGGCCAGGTCTTAACTGTTTCAATTAGGTGAAGTTTGGTGTCTAACTTCTATTGCTTAACCTTTATTCTTAGCAAATCAGCCCCATAGTGTCTACACACTGTGGTATATACACCCTGCTCCAAATTATTATGCAAATTCTATTTAAGTGTCACAAAGATTAAATATGTTGTTTTTCAGTTTAACTCATGGATGGCATTGTGTCTCAGGGCTCTTTTGATCACTGAAAACAATCTCGGACACCTGTGATAATTAGATTGGCAGGTGAGCCCAATTTAAGGAAAAAACTACTAAAGGAGGGTGTTCCACATTATTAAGCAGAGCACCATTTTCAAGCAATATGGGGAAGAAAAAGGATCTCTCTGCTGCCAAAAAACGTGAAATAGTTCAATGCCTTGGACGAGGTATGAAAACATTAGATATTTCACGAAAACGTAAGCGTGATCATCGCACTATTAAGAGATTTGTGGCTGATTCAGAGCACAGACGGGTTCGTGCAGATAAAGGCACATTGAGGAAGATTTCTGCCAGATCCATGCATCGGATCAAGAGAGCAGCTGCTAAAATACCATTACATTGCAGCAAACAGATATTTTAAGCTGCTGGTGCCTCTGGAGTCCCACGGACATCAAGGTGTAGAGTCCTCCAGAGTCTTGCAACTGTGCATAAACCTTCTATTTGGCCACCACTAACCAATGCTCACAAGCAGAAACGGCTGCATTGGGCAAAAAAAATACATGAAGACTAATTTTCAAACAGTCCTGTTCACTGATGAGTGCCATGCAACCCTAGATGGCCCAGATGGCTGGAGTAGTGGATGGTTGGTGGATGGCCACCCTGTTCCAACAAGGCTGCGACGTCAGCAAGGCGGTGGTGGAGTCATGTTCTGGGCCGGAATCATGGGAACAGAGCTGGTCGGCCCCTTTAGGGTCCCCAAAGCTGTAAAGATGACCTCTGCAAAGTATGTGCAGTTTATGACTTACCACTTTCTTCCCTGGTACAGAAGGAAGAACTATGCTTTCCGTAATAAAACGGAAAGCAAATAAAACCACCTTCATGCATGACAATGCACCATCTCATGCTGCAAAGAATAGCCCTGCATCAATAGCTGCTATGGGGATAAAAGGAGAGAAAGACATGGTGTGGCCTCCATCCTCCCCTGACCTCAATCCTATTGAGAACCTTTGGAGCATCCTCAAGCAAATGATCTATGAGGGTGGGAGGCAGTTTACATCCAAACAGCAGCTCTGAGAGGCTATTCTGACATCTTGCAAACAAATTCAAGCAGAAACTGTCCAAAAACTCAAGTTCAATGGACGCAAGACTTGTGAAGCTTCTATCAAATAAGGGATCCTATGTTAAAATGTAACGTGACCTGTTAAAATGTTTACAAAGTTAAAATGTTGTTAAAAGTTTGATTGAAATAGCTTTTGATTTCAGTAAATATGCTGCAAACACAACAAATGACAATTTTCAGTTCTTTACAACCTATAAAGTGTTTTGAAACTTACTATGCGTAATAATTTGGAACAGTGCATTGTAAGTTTTTTACGTTAAAAAAAAATACTGTTAATTATGTTTGTTCAATAAAATTTGAATTGTACTCTTAATAGTTGATAACATGAGAATTATGCTGATTGTTATTTACATCAATTATTTAGGTAAATGAGAAAAATATAATTTGCATAATAATTTGGAACAGGGTGTATACTGGAATTTAACCACTAGCCTACAGGGCACTTATTCCCCCTTCCTGCCAAGGCCAATTTCCAGCTTTTAGCGCTGTTGCACTTTGAATGACAATTGCGTGGTCATGTAACACTGTACCCATAGGAAATTTTATCATTTTTTTGTGACAGATAGAGCTTTCTTTTGGTGGTATTTAATCACCTCTGGTTTTTTTTTTATTTTTAAACTAAAAATCACTGAAAATTTTGGAAAAAAAAAAAAAAAAGTTTTTGTTATAAAATTTTGTAAATAAGTGTTTTTTCTCCTTCACTGATGTGCGCTAATGAGGCTGCAGTGATGGGCACTGATAGATGGCACTGATGGGCACTGATAGGTGGCACTGATGGGCATTGACAGGCATCACTAATGGGCACTGAAAGGCAGCACTCATATATGGCACTGACTGGCACTGACAGGCAGCACTGATAGGCAGCACTGACAGGCACTGATAGGCGGCACTGATGCACACTGATAGGCGGCACTGACTGGCACTGATTGGCAGAACTGATAGGTGGCACTGACTGGCATTGATAGATGGCACTGACTGTCACAGATGGGTGGCACTGACTGGCACTGATGTGTGGCACTGAAAGGCAGCTCAGATGGGCACTGATATGTGCACTGGTAGGCACTGAAATGTGGCATTGATGTGGCACTGATGGGCACTGGCAGGTGGCATGGATGAGCATTGACAGCTGGCACTGATGGGCACTGGCAGGTGGCATGGATGAGCATTGACAGCTGGCACTGATGGACACTGACAGGTGGCACTGCTGGGGCTATACAGATCATCAGGGCACACCGATCATCAGTGCCCTGATGATCAGTGTACATGTCCCCTCTGAGGGATGCCGATTACACTGTTCAACAGGTAAAAAGTTTTGGGCATAAAATTAGCTAATCTTACATAATTTTGGGGTGCTGAAAACGAAAATGACCCTAAAAAATGTTGATTGGTTCTAGTTTCCATGATATATTCACCCATCTAATGACGTAAGCCATTCAAAATTATGATGCAACTTCAGCTGCATATTGCGCAATTGATACTGGTGACCAATAGAAAATTGCATGTATACTGAGATGATGCAATATTAGCCTTTAATTGCATCACTTCACTGCATAAAAGCTGCAGTATCTGTAGCTGATTGTAGTTCGACAGCATCTTTACATTTCGTTTTATGCTTATATAGGCTACTCAGTAATGCCTCGAACTTGTGTGAATAAAGCAGATAATTTCTGCTATATCTGCGGTGAAATAACTTTTATCTCACAAAAAAGGAGGATAACAGGAATGATTAAGAAAGCCTACAACTTGTATTTTGGCTGCAAGATAGGAGACCAGGACAAGAGCTGGGCACCACATATATGCTGCAATTCTTGTGGGACGGCACTGGAGCAATGGTTGAATGGAAAAAAGGCATCTATGCCTTTCGCTGTGCCAAAGATTTGGAGAAAGCCAACAGATCATGTTAGTAATTGTTACTTTTGTATGGTGCCTCCAATTGTAAAAGGGCTAAATAAGAAGAAAAAGTTATCTGTGCACTATCCAAATATTCCATCGGCAATACGTCCAGTTCCTCATGGAGAGGGGCTACCAATTCCTAAAGCACCAGAATCCTTCGTGGTTGAGTCAAGTGAGGAAGAACCTGAAGCGTGTAGTCATCAACCGTCAAAATCACATGACCCAGACTTTCTTCCATCCACACCCACTGAACCACACCTCATTACACAAGTGGAATTGAGCGATCTTATCAGAGACCTGGATCTTCCGAAGAACAAGGCAGAGCTTTTGGGGTCAAGACTACAACAGTGGAATCTCCTAGCAAGTGATGTTCGTACGCTTCCATCAAGACATTGCAGCTATGGAAAGAAGATATCAAGGTAAATGGAGCCCATCAATGCTTGCTAACTATTGCTGGACAGTTGTAAGAGATAGCCCTTTCCTCAAATACAAGAGAAAAGCCAAGAGAAGCAAAACCGACACAAACTGAAGACAAAACTAGTGAGAATCCTAAGTATTAAAATGATTCAACTTAGCTTATGGCTATAATTTTTCTTGGTAATCCTATGCAATATATTATGCCATTTAGGCTTTGTTATGTAGTCAATATCACTTGCTTTATATTTGTGGAAAGACATCTATCTATATAATTATTGTGCATTATGTAGTCATTACGCCTATAGTAGAAAAACTTTCCGTTTACAGAAAAACTAGAGCAAATTGACAAATTTCATTTTTATATTTGAACTCCGAATGTGAAATTCATTAAGAAATGGATCCTTTAGTTTCCAAAACTGGCAAAAAATAAAAATTTGTTGAACAGTGTTACCGGCTCTCCTCTTGAGCTGTCAGGGTAACAGCTCGTGAGGAGAGAAATGCTGATAACTGGCATTTCCCTACTTACATGCGATCAGCTGTGGAACAGATTCCTCCATTCACTTCGATCGATGTGGATGAAGAAATCTCTGCCAAAAAAGTGAAAAAAATATATGCTGAAGCATAGGAGCAATCCGCCTGCTGGCCACCCCAGGTCACCATGCTTGGATATATAAGGTTTTTTTTTTTTACTGCAGATGAGAAATCTCCTCCAAGCAGCGCTGCATGCACTGATGTATATATTCTGAAAGCACACCCGCCTGCTGTCAAAATAAACAGATCAGTGCTGCAGCTGAATGGCATTCCTACAAAGGGCAATACGGGCCTGTGTTCAAATTCTTGGTGGCTGTGGGATGCTGCTAGTGCTAGCCAACACACCAGCTTGAACTGCATTTAAGAGGCTCGCCATGTCAGCAAGTGATACTGCAGTGCTAGTATGCAAAATGGCAGGTAGTACTAGGCCACTGGTGCTTGCCAGTTCACCAAAACGCAGTCCGCCACTGGTACTTTGACCCTGCTGCATTTGAGACAAGTCATGTGTTCCTAGCACTTTAGCAACAAGGGGTTGGGTACGTCTGATCTTAGCAAGGACCTCTTCTCCATCGTCTGAGCAATCTGTCAAGGTGCCGCTGCTGCCTACAGGTGTGTATTCTGAGGCATGTTCTATCAGTGAGGACTCCCCTTCGCTCTCATCTGACATGATCAGAATCCTGCAGGCCTCTTCACTAGAATATCTTTCTTTGGCCATTTTGACCACTAAATATATAGGTACCTAGTGCGAATCACAGGAAAAAAAAGCTCCTGGCTGTCAGGGACTGCTTGAACTGCTAGAAATAAAAATTCACCTACCAGTGGTAGCAGAGATCAGGCCTGATTCTGCTAACGCTGCGGTTTTGTGTGATGTACCACAGGTGACAGTGATCAGAAATTTCACTGACACTGCACTTCTTGTTTTGGGGGGGGTGTTGGGGCTAAATGCAAGTGCTGGCAGCGAATGGGGCTGATCCTACTAACACTGTGTTTTTGGGGACACGAATACTACGGGGGCACTGAATTTTTTGATCAATATATTGATCCGTACAAAATTATACTAGTAAAGGCATGATCAGCGACCTTCAGCATAAGTGCGATAGTGTGCGTGCAGTCTAACGCTAGCTGAAATAAAAGAAAAAAATTCCTGCGCCAAAACACAAATTAAGTAAATCACCCTTCTAAATTGCTGCTGTGCAAAAATGTGAATACACAAACATTGAAATATATAAACAGCGCAAAAATAGACCTAAAATCAAATATTAATAAATCACAAAATATAAATGTCCCATATCAATAAGTGCATATCTGTGTCAGAGAAAATTTCTTTCAAGAAAAGGACACCATAAAAAGTCCCTTGTGGTGAAAAATACAAACTCCAAATAATTTTTCTAGCCTTCCACCTTTCACCCGTGCACACCAAAATCAAATGCACACACCAGATTTTGGTGAATGAAAAGCCTTTAGGATCTTATGGAGAATCCTATACCCTCTTTTCATCAGCTCAATGATAGCCTCTCCAAGATAAAATCCTCTTACAGGTCCTCACCGTGGCTCCCTAGTTTGCTCCACCGTATCATCAAAGAGAAAACTCACATAGTGTAATATTGCCAGATCAATCTTATACAATAACGAACAGAATCCGGGCCACTCTCACATTTCAATAGCTTGTAAAAGGCACATTTATTAAGCCCATGACATCCTGATGCTCAAAAGCAGCCAACATACTCCAGGGTTCCCACACCAATGTAGCCAGATAGAGCAGAGGAACAGCAGAGAGCCAGCCTAAATCCCGCAAAATGGCCGCTGGAACGCACCGCTCGGCGTGCGTTCCACTCACCGGAAGTGACGTCAGACGTAAGGTGAATGAACCGGAAATGCGTCAACGCGTTTCGCCCCTCCCATCGGGCGTTCTCAAGACGTCCATTTCCTGTCTTACACGTCTTAAATAGCTCGCAAATGGCCCACCCCTCACTTCTAATTGCTCAGCACTCCTCTCCAGGAATACTAAACACCGCCCCCCCACTGCCCATTGATGTGGGAATCCTTTACAAACAGAGGCAACATTGTCAAAACAATTAGATTACTCTATACATCCTTGCAATCAACATATTTAAATACCTCTCAAAGGCTCAATATTACACCATTCTAAAACAATCTTTATTCAATTAAATTAATACAAATAAATAAGTAAATTAATACTAAATAAAAATTATAACAAAAAGGAATTTTATAATAAATCTTTTTATATAAAATTTTACATATCCATATAAAAAAATATATAAAAATATACATAAAAAATATAAAATATATAGAAAATATATCTCATGTATATACACCAAAACTTATTCATCACATTTAATATATCAATAAAATATAAATTTAAATCCAAACTTCTAATTGAAACAAAAGCCAATCTATACCCATGTCCAAATTTGACCCTTCCAGGTACAGAAAGACTTAACCCTATACATAATAAATATATAGTGACCAATATTGCCAGTATATATATATATATATATATGTACACCTATGTAGACGAAATATTCTAGTACCAATTGGACAAAAAGCAATTTATATCCATTTCTGAATTCAACCCTTTAGGATACAAAGAACCCATTTGATATATCCATTTTGTCTCATTCTGTGAGATACTCTTCACCATATCTCCTCCCCTCCAGTGGGCACAAGTTCAATCTATACCACAAAATTTTAAACATGATGGATCCATATTGTGATGGATCCAAAAATGATGAGAAAGACTGTGGTACTTGTAACCTTTTTTAATATTTCTGATATGTTCACCTAGCCTCACTGATAGTTTTCTCGTAGTTCTACCTACGTACTGGAGATTGCATGAGCATTCCAACAAATATGTCACAAAGGAACTATCACAAGATATAAATTTATCTATCTTATAAGAGGATCCATTAGACCAAGAATGGAAACCATCTTGAGGTCTCCTATTATCCCCTTTCATGGTTCTACATGCTATACACCTTTTACACTTATAGATCCCCACACTATCAAGAAAAGTGGGCTTCTTTTTAGGTATATCTGGAACATTTTTCACTAATTTCATTCTCAGTGAAGGAGGTTTTCTATAAATGAATAAAGGTTTTTTAGGTAATAATTTTTGCAAAATATCATCTCTTTTTTAAAATCGGCCAATGTTTCCTTATTATATTTTCAATTAGTTTATATTGATTCGAGTAACCAGTAATAAAGGCAAGTTCACCTATCTTATCCTCCTTTTTCTTTTTGGTTAATAGGTCTTCTCTCTTAATCCTACTGACCTGTTTAA